TATTAGTAAGCTCATGTCACCACAAGATTTGAATCATCCCAATGTCAAAATGCTGTTCCTACCACCTAACACTGCTTCGTTACTCCAACCATTGGATCGAGGCATTATTTATACTTTTAAAACATATTACATAAGAAGAGAATTACAGCAGATTTTAGAAGTAACCGATTCAAAATCAGTTAATGTAATGGAAGCTTGGAAGACATTTTCGATCAAGAACTGAATCGACATCGTATCTTTGTTGCTGAAAGAACTGAAAGCATCAACATTAAATGCATGTCAGAAGATATGGCCCTCTTCAGTTAAAACAGAAAATGCACGTGAATTGTCAGAAAATGAAATTGGTGGCATATTAGAACTTGCTAAATCAATTGGAGGTGAAGGTTTTTATGAAAATGACTATTGATGACGTTCACTACCACTGATGAAGATTGTGAAGTTAACTATTTAACATTAAAAAAATTAAAAGAAGGCCTATGTTATTTTCTTGAGTGTAGACCCTTCCGCTGAAATAAGCTGAAAATTTAAAAGGGAGCTGCAAAACTGTCTAGCTCTATATCGAGAAATTTAAAATGACCCAGTAAAAACTAGGAAACAAAGTAAAATTACAGATTTTTTAAAGAGGGAAGAAAATGGCAGAACTTTAAATGAAGAAAGAAATTCTGAAAGTAAAAGCGATCTCATTTCACCGAAAAAAACGTTCTCTGTTGATTATATTGACCAATGACAACACAATGAAGAAATGTATTAAACTAAAGTTGCATTAAATTAAAACATGTAATATTTTTTTGTTTTGTGTTGTAATTACATATATATTTTTAATAAAAATTAAGTTGTTTACGTACAATTTTAAAACAAAATTTGTTTTTAGTTAAGTTTTCGAAACATTAACGCCCTTTTTATACTGGTTCTGGGTCTCGTACAACACAGTTTCACACAACACAGAACCTATCTACCGTATTATACGACGGTTACCTGTACATTAAAAAATAAAACATTTTACCCTCTTTTTCAAATCTTTGTGTAATTTTTTTTTTCGTGCTATACTTCTAAAGTACACAGCAATCTGTTTTCACTTAAATAAAATCATAGAATTATGGAGAGTCGGCTCTGTGTAACCTTTGGTAACAGTGGCTATTGAGGAAACACTTTTCTCATTGTTTCTTTTAGAAAATTTTTTGAAAAAATCAGTATTCTAGCAGAAATTTTATTGCAGTTTGCTGACAAATTCCACAAGCTCTTATTTTAAAACTAAAACAAAAAAATACCACTTTCTTTTATAAAAACCGTTGGAATTTGGAATACAACAAAAAAGAATACATACACAATAGGTGACACTGAAGGACTGTTATGAGCATGGATGCCAGAAGAATGGTTGACAGAGTTTGATACATTCTGAAAATGTGTCTATTTCTTCTAAGGTGGTTGCTTTAATATGTAAGTACTGTGTATTTTATATTATGAATAATGGTAATGCACGCTAAAATTAATCATGGATTAAAGCTAAAACAGTTTTTTTTTTTTTTTTTTTTTTTTTTTTTTTTAGGCACACACAATATTTCTTATATGATGATAATAAAAATCAGGTCTGTGGAGTCGGAGTCGGGCAGATTTTGGGGTAAAAGGAGTAGGAGCTGGAGTCACTAAAAACCAGTTGACTCCGACTCCAATTTTTCTGGGACAGTTTAAATTTGAAATGAAATTAAAATGAATTGAAAAAAAAATTAATGACAAGCTGAGTTATTATTTTTATTTATGGACTTATACATTAATAAATAGTTATTTTCTATTTTATTGACATATTAATAAATAAATATAAAGGAGGAAGATGGATGTGATATTTGCCAATAAAATGGAATGAATGAATGGAATGGATGTGATATTTGCCAATAAAATGGAATGAATGAATGAATTTGGAACTGAATGAATTAAACATAAACTGATTCATTCAGTTCCAAATTTCACTGGTAAATTTACGTAAGCAGCAATAGCAGCAAGAACTCCCAAAATTGATGCCACTCTTAGGAAGTGAGCAGGAAAAGGAGCAATTATTGATCATGCAATGCAACAAGGAAGTACATATTTGATGATAAAGAGGTTGTTAGAATTAAGAACTTTTTTAGAAGATGTTAGATAAACCCTAATGTTTTGCTAAACGGAAAGACTGTGGAATGATCTTCCAGAATTGGAAATTCTTCTTTCTACACTATATATAACCACAAAAAAGCTGCAATCCTGAAAGAATTGACATAGGAGGCGACGAATGGAAAAATGTGATGTTTGTTCTTCTGAAATGGAGGGTTCTATTGCAGAAGGAATCATTTCTTCAATGAAGAAAAGAAAATAGAAACTAGTTTGCTAAACAATGAGATCTTGCTGGGTTCAATACATGTAGATCCGAAAACAGTCGAACATTTTGTTGGATGACAAACAAATTAAAAAACGCAAAGAAAAGCCATCTATGAACTTTCATTAAGAATGAAAATTATTCTCAGAACTGGAATATTCAAATCAGGACATTCAAACTACAGATATTGCAATTGAGTCTCTATCATCCATTTCCACTGATGAATTAGATTGAGAAATATTTTGGATAATATTGAAAAAGGCTAAGGCAAGCGAATGAAAATAAATAACCAAGAGCCTATAGATATAAAATGAAAAAACACAATACAAGATACGATTATACACAGGCCTTTGAAGAAATAGAGAGATATGATTGCGCTAGCAAAAGACACCTCTTTTAGAACTTATAAAAAGTCTATCCTGAAAAGTTAAAAGAAGTAGCCCTAACAGTAACAGCTCTTCCTCCTACTTAAGTTAGTGTGGAAAGACTCTTCTCAGCTCTGAAGTTTATCAAATCGGATCTATGCCCTCCAACAAAGAAGATCTTGCCAAAGCTATACTGTTTCTTAGAAATAAGAAATGCCACCTTTTCCATTTCATAATAAATGCTAATTAATACAGTACAAAGTTCGTAATCTGGACTCGTCGGGACTTTGGCAATTCCGGATTAGGGTTTTTTCCAGATTATACATCATCAATTTAAATCTGGTAAGATGGCATGCAGAAATTATACAATTAAAAATATGAAACCATAATTTATGAAATAAAGAGCAATTATGATCTAAAGGGTATCAAAATTTACAAAAAAAAAAACTTAATATTTATTTTTTTACTTTAGTAAACATTTCTATCAATGTAAGTTGTTTAAGTTGCTTTGTTTTTTGTGCTAATACTTTCTTTTAATTCTATAAACAGACATAATTTCTCGTTCAGTTACAAAGTTTGATTTAATCCTAGTATCCGGTGCACACGGGATTTCGCGACTTTATGATGAGCAGTAAAAACGGGACATATACGATGAGTAGTAAATGGATGCACTTGATTTGCTGATACTATCTCAATTTAAATGATATTGTAGATTAGTTCGAAAATTAAATCTTTTATATGTTTGCACATTTTTTAATTATTTTAACTTTAAATTTGCTTTCTTACGCATATACATGTTTGTTAAAATTTTAATTTGTTTAAATTTAAATTTCATTCCTTGCAGCAATGGCGCAAAGAATTAATTAAATTTTTATTTAAATTCAATTTATTCTTTTGAAACAATATAGTTATACATAATATATACTATGTATATAGTGTATATACACACATAGGATATAGTATATATATAGACGTTCGATACTATTCGATTTTGAGGGCCGTAAAAAATCGCCAAACTACTGTTGATGCCAGTGCTGCCAAAAATAATTATGGCAACCTTAACACAAGAAAGGAAGTATAATAGTAAATAACTAAGATTGATGATTTAATTTAGATGAAAAGTTAATTTCATATAATATTTTATTATTATTATAATTTATATAAAAAAAGGGTAAACATGACTGAATGGAAGCATAAGAGTAAATAACTATTTTAGATCATTATTATAATTTATATAAAAATTGCTAAACATAACCGAATGGATGCCTGCATCGCTATTTCGCTACCGAGTTATCACTAAAGCATAATTTCATCTTATTGGTTGTTCAAACATAATTTTCTATAATGAATGATGCCTTTTCTATGAAAATTCTCGGTGAAGTGCAGAATCGTCCACTTATTTGTTTGCCGCTTTTTACAAGGGTAAAAACAATTGGATTTTTGTCAATTTTCTTTTACTTTTTAAGTGAAAATAGGTCGATGTGTACATGGATACCGAGTATGTGCAATTCTGAAAAGTGCGCCAAGCAGTGGGTGATTCTGCACTTTCAATAAAATAAATTGCATTTCAAACATAAAAGTCAACATATCTTCATATGCACTAAATATCTAAAAGTAAAATACCTTATCGTATATCCAGTCGATCTTGAAAACACGGAAAATCTTGCAAAATATGTGGTATAAATTTGAAAGAACCAATTACTATTTATTTAGTTAATTAAGCATGAGATACAAGTTATGGATATAAAAAAAACTTAAATCACCTAGTTTTAATTATTCTACTTCATGAATTCTTACGTGCTTAAAATTCATCAAACTGAATCATGAAATTTTAGTTTTATTCTTTTCTTACGGCAAAATTTTATTACTAAATAAAATCTCTCAACAGCTGAATTTCATGACATTTGTAATTTTTACCCGATATAAAATTTTTAGCATCCTAATGTAAAAATAAAAAAATCCTAAAAAGTCGATTCATATTTTATAAGCACAATAACCACATGACAAAGCAAATCTACATATTCATGAAAAATTCCATTCGCATTTTTCGTATGCACTTTAAATGGTCTTTCATTTCCATGCAAATAATCTCTATTGGAATATTTTTCTTTTAAAAAAATAACACTAAGTTCAAGGCCTGAATTCTTATTTAAATCTAAGAATGGAATCAAAAATTACATATTATTAGAACACGAATGACAAATCAAAATAAAATGTGAATTATTTACTGTCAAAATCAAAAGCACCGCAACAAGTAATGATTATGTTACATACAGTATATAACTTACATTTGATGAACGTTTCTTATACTAAATTCATGTTAACAATCAAATCGCAACATTAATAATATATAATTATTCTTAGTTAACAGTTTAGGACGAGTATAGAATTTTAATACAGTTACAGTCATATCTGTTCAATCAGATAATGAAACTAAACTGACATATTTACGAAATCTCATTTGTATCTCTTAAAACGGGTATAAACATACCATATGCCAGACAATGTATTCCCAAATATGGTACGTTCATTATTTTTATTCATAAAATGATCTGAGAAGAAAGAACACAAAAGATGTATTCAAATCAAATAACTTTAATCAAGGTACGAATTTGAGAACGTTATTTTATGCCATTGCGAAAAGACATAGAAATTATAAAAAGATTCACTAAATACTTACTTTCATAGAATCCCCTACGTCTAATAAAAATAACTTGCATTTTATGGTTATAAGCGAGACTATTATTATATATTTGGAATGCAACTACAATAAAGTGCCGGGTATGACGCATACAGGTAGGCGTGAAGATCGCGCGACCAAACTAGTTTCTCTGTCAGAAAAAAGAGCATCATCACTTGTTTTGATTAATTTTTAAAGAAATGTTAAAGAGTTTTTGCTTAAAAGTAAAATAATCAAAAATATGAGTCAAACACACGTTTAATAATTTATTCTTTCAGTGTCGACGAAATTTTCAGCAAGAATGGGTTGCATATTTGTTTCCTCGCAATTATCCATTTTTTCCTCAAAATGCCATCGTTATCAAATTTAAAAGCATTTACCCACTGAAAAATAGATATTTCAATAAATAGTATCAATGCAACAAAGTGCGCCACACTTGTTTGCCCATTACCTGCAGACGATTAGGAGCTTACACATATACTGGAAAAAAATCTTACGATCTGAAGTGGAAACTACAAAAATCTGTGAATCAAGGTCAGAACAGAAAACGAATACCTAGAGGTTGTTCTAGATCTTAACTGTAGGCCGTATCCTCCTACCGTGCGACGAGATCTCGATATGAGAGTGACGTAGCAAGCGACTCCTTCTCGTTCGACTGCTACTAACGATTGAACGAGAACAGGGGCCGTATTCTCGTTGCGTGCGACGAGATCTCGATATGAGAGTGACGTCACATATGACGGGTTTTTCGTGCGGAGCGACAATTTGCAATCCTCCAGCACCGATCGAAACCATTTCGTGGGGCGTAGCGATCGTCTGGTTTTCGGCTGCTTTTATACAACCGTTTAAAAATCTTGCGATCGAAAAGTAATGGCGTCCGATGAATGTTTAGCGATGTATCTTTTAAATTGAATACATCATCGTAATTCATTTCAAAGAATAATGTTCCGAAGCATACTGGATACGTTTGCATTATCTGTTAAGCAGTTTATAAAGTTATTTAGAGAAAATAAACAGTTGTATTCCGTTCTGTACTAACAGCTTTTGTTCGAAGACTCTTACATTTTACTGGATTGCCGCCTGAGCTAAAAGTAAGTTACTTATTTATTTGAATTGTTGAAATTTCAGTCTAAAATTATAAATAACTTAATCAATTATTCTATAATTTATGTTTATATATTCTACATGTGTCGTGATTTCTGCTTTTCTGGTCAATTTCAGTTGTAGAAACATGTTTTATGAATTCGTCTATACTTAACGAATAATTTTCTGCTTAATAATTTTTATGTATCATCTGAAACATTCGAAAAATTCAATTAGAATTAAGTTCCGAATTATATAAGAGTAAACATATCCGAATTATATAAGAGAGAAGAATATGTTAGTTAAATTTCCCTCTGGTTTTCATAATAAATTACATCTTTGGTGCATAACATTCTCATTTGTGTTTTGTTGTCAAAAATCAGGATCTGAAAAAAGATAACTAGTTGGATTCATTTGCAGTATTATTTAAAAACGAATTACGGTGTTTGTTGGGATTTTAGATTTTGATATTATTCTTGAAGTCATCTGTTAATATTTTATCTAATTATAGTGCTTAAAAATTCATGTGAAAAGGGATTGTAATTTTTTATCTATTGATGTAAAATACCCTGTTTCTTCTTATGAAGGATGTGTTGTTATGAAATTGTTAGAAAAAAGAGTATTCTTTTCTCCATTTTACTTTCCCAGTATATTATTATGCTATTTTAGAAGCATCATGTGAAAATATTGCAAGTTTCTCATGTGATAGATTAATACAGTTTATAAAAACAATTAGTAGGTGTCAGTAGGTCATTTTAATCTCTTTTGGATCTTGATTTTGGACACCACAAATGAGAAGGTTATGTTAATTTTATGAGATTGTACTCATAATTGTTACATATATGTAAAACTATAAAACTGTGTATTGAGAATTTTCTGAAGTAGGATTAGTTTTGAATAATAACTCAGCTTTCATAATGTTATAAACATGTATCCATAAATTTGAAATAGATTTGTATAATGCTTATGTAATTTATTTTCTTAGTAAACCCAAGGATTTTAATTAACACTCCTCAATAATTTTACATTGTAGAATATTATTTCATATTAAGTAGATTTTTATCATTTAGCTAATAAGTTTCAAAGCATTTAAAAGTTATCAAACATATGTATTTCTATAATCCTGATAAACATTATATTTCCTGTTATTGATAGCATATAGTTCCTTTATTCTTGTTTAAGCCTTTAGATAAGATCTTTATGTACGACAGTTATATTTTGCAGGTTTCTGATTATAATATGAAGATCTTGGCAATAAATGCAAAATGTTCGTGTGTTCATGACACGTTCATATGGAGACAGTGCAGTTCATAACTTCTTGGCAATGCAAGGGACAAACTATTGGCTTATAGATATGTGCCCAAACTTTTATAATACAATTATTTAAGGAAGGAAATAAGCACATTTTGTCAAACATATTTGTACTCTGAGAAATTAAATGAAGCGCAATTAAGTATTTTTCAGGGATAGGGGAAGAAATGAACGTCAGTTATCAATACTTCCTCAATTCTTGTAATCCTGAAAATAAGATTTTTCGGTACTCTTCTGTAATCGGAACTGGATTCAGAAATGAGTGTATATGTATATTATATGTACATACCTATGTATATGTGTACGCATATAGACACATACATACATGCATACATATATACATTCTGGCTCCGTCGACCCTGGAGCCTACTTCAGCGGTATGGATATATTAATGAAAAGCAAAGCATCCCTAAAGGGGAAAATAACTAGATTCGAAACTTTTGTGCAAACTGAAAATAATGATGTGGACTTAGTTGAACTTAAAGTTAAACTAAAAAACATTCAAGCTCTTCAAAAGAAAGTTGATGAACTACGAAGTGCGTGCTACGCACAAAGTGAAATGAAAGATAATGATCTGACCAAAATTGATGACGACTTAAACCAATGTGATGATCGTCTGGAAAAATTGGAGGTAAGAATTGAAATTCTCATTAATTCTTACAATAAGTTAAATTCTGCAAAAGCAGTAAATGTTACTGAAAGTAATGTAGATGAAAATTTTCAAATCAAAACTAAAATCCCAGCGTTAGTTTTGCCTGAATTTTCAGGAAAAATATGAAGAATTTAGTTCATTTAAAACTCAATTTGATGATTTAATTACAAATAATGTTCAGCTGAGTCATTCACAGAAATTGTATTATCTAAGATCTTGTCTTACTAATGATGCTAAGCATTTAGGTAGTAACTTTGATAATTTTGAATCTTTGTACAATGCTTTAGAATCTCGCTATGATAATGAACGTCTGATTGTTGACATTCATGTGCAGAATATTTTAAATTTTGAAAAGATTCAATCCGAAAATGCGAAAGATATCAGAAGTATGATTGATTGTATACAAAAGAATTTACGCGCTTTGAAAGTATTAAAATATGAACAGAACAAGTTATGTGATGTTTTTCTAATAAATATTCTTCTTCAAAAACTAGATAAAGAATCTAGAAAAAATTTTGAATTATCTCACAAATCGAAAGTAGTTCCAACATTTGACGAGTTTATTAGATTTTTGGAACAGCGTGAATCAGTTTTGTTATCTATAAATAGAAATATTACACCCGGAAGTAGGGTTAATATAAACAAGAATTCCACTCCTTCCCATAAATCGAAGGTTCTTTTGACAAATGAAAATAAAAATAAAAACTGTGTTGTGTGTAGGAGCTTTCATCCTATTTTCCTTTGCGATACATTCTTAAAGTTAAGTGTTCATGAAAGATTAAAATTAATTCGTTCACATAAACTCTGCGAATTATGTCTAAAGCAAAATCATAAGAAAAGTCAGTGTCTCTCGAAATTTAAATGCGCTTGCGCGGGGAAAAACACAATAAATTAATATGCATGGATAATGAAGGTCATTCGAAGACTCCTTGTCGCTCGGTGACGCCACTTAGACAAAACAAAAGTGAGCTCGATGCCGCCGCTGGAAAAGGTGACTCAGAATTGAAAGCGTTGAGTGTTTTAAGTAACAAGAATAAACAAAAAAGAAAAAGTGTACTTTTTTCTACTGCAGAGATTTATGTCCGTGACGCCAATAATCGAAGAATAAAAATCCGTGCGATTTTAGACAGCGCATCTAATATATGTGTTCTTACAGATAAAATAAGTGAATGCTTAGGAATAAAAAGGGAGAAAATTAAAATGCCTGTTACAGGTCTTAATGGATCAATTCAAAATATTAAATGGAAAGTGAATACATTTATTTCAAATGAAGAATGTACCTTTAATGAACCAGTTGAATTCTTGATTGTAAATAAGATAACAGGACTAACTCCGTGTACTACGTTAGATATTTCGAAAGTAGAAATTCCACAATTTTTAAATTTAGCTGATAAATCATTTTATGAAGCTTCAGAGGTACATGCCCTTATAAGTGCTGATTTATTTTTTAAGGTTTTGAAAAATAATACGTATAAAATAAATGATGATTTATTGTTTAAAGAGTCTGAATTCGGATGGATCGCATGCGGGAAGCTTAACGAAATACAACCTTCTTATCAGGGACATTGTTTTCTTGTGCAAAATGACTCTCTTCAAAATACTTTAAAACTTTTCTTTGATTTAGAGGGACTTGGTATTCGTGATGATCCAGTTTTGCATGAAAAGGATCAG